TTTAATTTATTTTGAATCATGTGGGATTTATTCATAACAAAACCCAAAATTTGCAGCAATATGTTTGAGACTCTGAAAGCAATTAATCCATCCAATTTCTCTACATACAGAACTCCTGTGCCTGGTTTGAGCAGATATTTGTGGCTCTTTTGCTCCTCGCTGAAGGCTCCTTTGGTCATCCACAACCTCTTTTCCACCACGAACCTTATAACAAGCTCTAATTCTGCCTCAAAAGCCACATGAATCATAAATAAGGACCTATGTGCCCAGGCCATATATCCCCTATCTGACATTTTCCAACCAAAAGGCTCCAGGGAAATTCTGAATTCCTCCTGTGACACTGAATCCTCCAGGACTGTGGGAATGGTGGCTCTCTGTCCACACCCCCATGCCACAGCCAGCTGTGGAACATCCTGCTCCTGCCCGACCACCATTTGTCTCGGACAGATGCCCAACAGAAGAAACACAGTGACTCCAGACTTGCTTCAGCTGAACCCAGAGAAGCCTCAGCTTCTGAGCAGAAGAAAAACCCTGCCTCCCTGTGCTGTCCGCCTGCACTCTCCTTGGAACCAGGCATGCACAAGGAGGTTCCCAGTGGGAGCTGCATCCACAGAGGACTGGACATATTGGGGCTTCACCAACTTGCTGCTCCAGCCCCACTTGCTTCGGCACCCTCTGGCTAGAGGAGAAGGCATGACTGATGTATTAGGAAACAGTCCTCTGGCTGAACCCACAGACAGCAAGCGTCATCTCAGTGCATGCCTTTTCCTGCTCAGTCTCTTGGGATGCTGCTGGGCCGCTAACTAGCTAGTCACAGTTCCCTAACCAGTCATTTGAGAAAGTTGCCCTTCACCTCCCTGCCTGCTCAAACTCCACCAGTTTAGGCTTTTTGCCCCACTTCCCTTCCCTGCCCTTCTTTGCCCTCCCTTTACCTTGGTGAACCTATTGATTTCAGGGGTGACATCCTTCAACAGCTCCCCATTGTCTTAGGGATAAAACTGGAATTCCCTAACATGGTGTATGAAGCACCAATTTGCTCTCCTGGCTTTCTTCACCCTATACCCCTATCCCAGCCTCCCATGGCCCCTACCCCAGCCCTTAGACCTTCACCACTGAGCTTGCGGCTCCATCAGAGGGAAATGCCCTATTCGTCTCTCCACCCTCCCTCTGCCCTTCTACCTCTGGCTAACTTCCACTCACCTTTCAAAACTCAGCTCAAATGTCACCTCCCCCAGGAAACCTTCCCTGAGCACCTTTAATCACCAGCACAGTTGGGCCCCCACCTCCGGGCTCATACAGGCATGCAGCGCACACGTGCACCACTGCTGTGACATGTGACACGTATCTAGGTACTGCACTCGTCCAAAGACCACAGGCAGCCACCTGTGATCAGCTGCAGTGTGGGCCTTCCTAACAGCATGCTCAGACCCATGTCGATTGCTGTCACCTTCCTCATTTCTTTCCCTAGCCTCAGGTCTGGCAGGCAGAGTCTACAGTTTCTTTTGTTCCTTTTTTTTTTTTTTTCTTTAAATAAGCTAAGAGAGAAGCATAGAGCAGATTCTCCCACACAACCCTTAAAAGGAGCCTGTTGACACCTTGGTCTTAGACTTCCAGCCTCCAGAACCATGAGACGTAAATTTCTGTTGTTTAAACCACACAGTCTGTACTATTTTCTCATGGCAACCCTAGCAAACTTACATAGAGGGGAGGCACAGGGTCAAACACTTTTTTACACATTGGCTGCATGTGAGTCAGAGGAGGTCACCTGGTGTTTCTGGGCATCCTAGGAGGGAAAGGCCTTTGGGGTATTCCTGCACCCCCAGAATTATGGATTGCTGGCCATTTAAATATTTGTATCTATAGATGGCATCAGTCATGATACATGCCTTCTGTGGAAATGGGTTATAAAAAGTCTACTGAAAACTCCTTTCTGCCATCATCTGGTCTCAACCAGAGGTTAAGGTAACAAAAGATTTTGAAATAACGTGAGGATATGAAAGTTACTTGACCCTCACATGATCATTTTTTTTCTTTATTTAGGGATCTATACCTCTACTACTTTATTTATAGTTATTTCCATAAGGAGAAAACAAAAAAAATCAGGCCAGTGGTAACAAAGCAAAGAAGCAGACAGGAAATGGGAGGGGTTTGTGTCCCTTCAGAACAAATCCCACGCCTATAAAATAAGAGGTTTAGATTATGTTTCTTGCTGTGCTTTAAAAAGAAATGATAACCAACATGTGTTCAGGGCTTCCTAAGCACCTGATACTGTACTATCTTACAAAGTCCCTAAGACAACCTCATAAGGAACTATCATTATCCCCATTTTTCAGATAAGGGAACTAAGATACAGAGAGATCAAGAAAGCAATAATTTGGCAGGGTCGCACAGTAAATCAGTGGTACTGTTCAGATTTGAAACCAAGCAGAGTGATACCAGAGCCCACAGTCAACAGCCATGTTTTGTTTCTTAATCAGGTGAAGTGGGGATCCTGAGTGTCCTGACACACTGGATACAAAAGGATGAGTGCCCCAAGACCTGGCGCATGCTGCTTTCTGGTTTGGTATTAAAGTTTAAAAGTCATTATGTCAGTACTGACGGCCAAAGAATGGAGGGAGGGGGGGCTTTTTAAAAAATACAAAGTAAGCATTTGGAGTGTAGAAAAGAGCTCCATTGCATTTCTAGAGAACAAACCCCCAGCAAAACGCAGCGACATAGAAATTCTACGAGAGTCCTACAAAGTATGCTTTCCTTACGAGAACGATTTGGATGCCTCTGAAGAACTACCTCTATTCTCTGCTTGGATGAGCACTTGTTGCAAACTTCCCCGGATGGTTTATCGGATGGAGTGAGCTTGTCGGAAGAAAAACGATGGGTCCTGCGCTTCTGCGCTTATTTTTTGCAAGTTAAAAGATTAAAAAATAATAACCCCTTTCCCCAGCCAGCCTTAGAATTACTTTTTCCAGTTTAGTCTTGTTCCCTTTCCTGGTTGATATAATCCTAATTAAAAATAAATTACACGCTGTATAGAACTTGAAATGGGAAAGATAATCCTATTACATATGAGAATATATCCCGATTTTCTTTCCCGCTAAACTGGCAGATAAAAGATCAGGCTGAGCCCCCCATTGTCGCCGCTTTGAAAACTTTCCTAGAGCCCTAATCCGTCACGTGACGCCCGCGTCCACTCTGGGTCTGCACGCGAGTTTCACAATGCGGGCATTAGGCTCGGCAACAGAAACCCAGCTTTGCAGGGCCCGCATCATTTGCATTCCGAGAAAACGCCGGCCATTGTGGCGCTGTGTTTGTTCTCAGGATTGAGAGACAGTTGCCGGCGAAGTTGCTAAAACCCGGAGAAAGGGGCTCCTTTGAGCCAGCCCCGGCCTTTGGTGTGGTAACAATCCGTTCGAGCGGCTTTTGTGGGGTCTGATCCGCGCCGGGGGAGGATGAGCTCCCTCCTCCCTTCCTCCTACCCAACCAGCCCACTCCCTAGACCTTTTGCTTCCCAGGAGAGCTGCCGTAGGCGCTGATGAGCTATTTTGGGTCGTATTTCCATAAGCTGGAGGCTGCGGTCGGCGGGGCCGGAGCTCCTTCTGCTCGCGTGCCTTCACACGTCCACTGCCCGCGCGGAAAGGCCTGGGCGCGCCGGCCTTTGCTGCCCTGCTCGCCGCTCTCCTCCCCCGGCGCCCAGCCCCGGGCTCCGCGCTTCCTGGAGCGGCCGCGGTCGTGGCCACTTCCGAGCAGCCGAAGAGCTGGCAGCGGCTAAATGTTCTGAACCTAGCCGCTCCACAACCCGCCCATCCGCCTCTCGGCTCTGGGCTGCTCCCCCACTTCTCCCGCACGCTTTGGTTTATTCCAGTCTTGAGAATGAGCATGATGACGTGAAAGGAATTTGAGTAAAAAATATTAGGTAGCTCCGATTCTCCGGCCAAGCAAAACACCCAAATTTAAACAGCGCGCGGCTTGGACTCCCGCGGTCTAGCCCAAAACTGAGATTCGCGAGACTCCAGGGGCGCAGGTGTGGGTCCGGCTCCCCGCCACTCGCGGCCGGGCTCTGGACAAGTGTCTGTTTACGCCAACAGCTGAAAACATCCTTTCTCCGCGACTGCTGCCCCACCGCCCTCTCCCTCCCTCCCCGCGACCTCCCCGCGTTCTCGGCTCAGCGGTCGCAGCACTCCCCTGACCTGACCTCTCCGGGTTTCGCTACAGGCCGCGGGGAGGCCGCTGCCCGACTGGCAAGTTCTGAATCTGTTCTCCTGCCGAGGTTCCGGGAAGGGGCTGCGGAGGGTGGGCGGGACCCTGGAAGGGCCAAAGGTCACCTGCAGGCCCCAGACCGGGGTGGGAGTGTTGCGGGTCTCCGAAAGAAGACAAAAAGTTCTTTCGGCTGCGCGTACTCTCCGGGAAATGTCGCGGGCGGTAGCAGAAAGAGCAAGCTATTAAATAGAAGTTGGGAGGTTAAAAAAAAAAAAAAAGTGGGAGAGAAGCTGAGAACTGGGCTCTCGAAGGGGGCGTAGCCCTTTCCACGTCCCTGTGTGGCTGCAGATGTTCGGCCCCGTTGCTTTTAGCATTACCAGATCAGCAAGTTGGAGGCGGCGGGGAAGGGAACCGAGAGGCAGGATTGCTCTGAGGAAGCCCCCCAACCATCCGCCTCCCCCGCCCAATCTCAAAAGAGCTTTTTTTAAATTGATGGTTGGGGTTGCATTTTTCACTCTTTGGCAGCCCCAGAGCTCCTCCTTCATCTTCTCTCACCCCCACTGCCCACCCAACTCCCTCCTTGGGTCTCTCTTCCTGTGGAGAGAAGAGGGCATGAGGAGACTCCTGAATCTCTCTGAAAAGACCCCAAGACACATTCCCTGGGTTTGAGGGAAAGGAAAACGTAGATAGGATGCTGACAGCAGGACTAAAATCAGGATTCAGAGCATTTACTAAATGCAGTATGCTTATTAAATCCATCGCCTTAAAAAATTTTTTTTTCTATTGTGTGACTTGTTTTTACCTCTCCTCCTTCGTGCACAGTTTGCTCAGTAAAGCTCTTCAAAAGACAGTAAGAATTCGTCTTGCTCCTGCCTGGTGCCCCATCTCCCTGGTCTTTAGGGATGATGGAGGCAGGATAACTGCGCGGGCAGCGCCTGGCCAGCCCTAGGACCCGCCCAGCCCAGAGCCTGGCAAAACCGAAGCCCCACACTTTCGTAGGCAGATGGTTAAGTTCCCCCAGGTTTGTGCCAGGTTTCAACGTCATGATGTGATTTTATTCTTCTGGGACGGGATGAGTGTTGCTTCCCAGAGTGGCCCGATTAGAACAGAAAGAAAATCCTCTAAGTAGGCGGAACAAGGCATCAGGAGGGAAAGTTCTCTGAGTGCACTTTAATACGAGCTGGGGATTGTGTGGGATCAGCGCCCAGCACCGTTTAGCCGGAGAGTCATGGCAGTGACTGCGGATGAATAGAGGTACATAATGGATACATGTGGCGTTTGCTCATTATGTTCAAGTTAGCCCAACTCCGCTGTGGAAACTGTTCAACTTTCTCTCCCCTTAGCTTGTCACAGTGAAATAATACAGACATTGGGGCCTCCAATGGGATCGCCTGCCACGCCATTCTATTTCCACTGCTAACGAGGGATTCATAAGCCTTTGATACAGTCTGATCTTTGAAACCTTTCCAAATCTCCTCAAGCTTATGCTAAATCCTATTTGGAACTTTTTTTCCTGGCCTGCTAGCGCCCAGGGCTTAAGAAAGCCATTTGGACGGTGACATGCATACTAACACGTCGCAGAGCTCTTTTGTGAAGGGGAAGTGGCAGCTCTGATCACTGAAACTCACACGAGCAAAACACAATTGCGTACAAAAATTTGAATAAAATCAATTTTCCTTATCCTTCGGGATCCTAAATAGCAAGGCTATTTTCAAGTGCAGTGAAACACAGACAGAAGGCGAGCAGAGCCTCGCCGGGCAGAGGAAGTCTGTGGCGAGGAGGCTGAGAGCTTTTGGAAGCCTCTGGGATGCAAAACGGAGTGAGTGAGTGGGGGGTCCCGAGTCTCTGGGGAGAAATTCCAGCCTGTTTGCTCTTAGTTCGCAGGCAGTAGTTAGTTCAAGCACGGTAGAGGCACAATTAACAAAACCATCCACTTCTTTTACTCACAGAGAGCTGTCAACTCCTCTACAAGCAGGGAGCTGACAGGAAATGAAAAGAAAAAAAACTGGAGTTAAAGAAACAAAGGAAAGATTTCCTAATTTTCCTTTCTTGTTTTCCCCTCTAAGCCTTTCCACATTAAAGGGATTGTCTGAGGCTGGTGTAGGAGCTGCGCGAGGGCGAAGCCACCATTGGCTGCCTGGCTCTGGTGATTTGCATATCTGCCGCTACAAAAGCGGAGGCGGCGCGCTGCAGCGCAGCTCCAGCTAGAAGGAAGGAGTGAGCGGTTTGTAGTGTGGACAGGTCCGCGCGTCCTCAGAGCCCGCCGGAACCTGCGAGCTGCAGCCCGCAGACTTCTCTCGCACTGGGCTCTCAAAGAGCTGCTCCGAAGAGACTGGGATTGACTCCCGGACCTGCAAACCAGAGAAGAATCTCTTCCTCAGCCTTTTGGAATAGTGCTTGCGGCTAGCGGCATGAGTCCAGCGAGGCGTGGGGGCAGCCCCTGCCTTTTCCCCTTGCAGCTCTTCAGCCTCTGCTGGGTGCTCTCAGTGGCCCAAAGCAAGACAGTGCGGTACAGCACCTTCGAGGAGGACGCCCCTGGCACCGTCATTGGGACCCTAGCTGAAGATCTGCATATGAAAGTATCTGGAGACACAAACTTCCGCCTGATGAAGCAGTTCAACAGCTCGTTGCTCCGGGTGCGCGAGGGCGATGGGCAGCTGACCGTCGGCGACGCGGGCCTGGACCGCGAGAGGCTGTGCGGCCAGGCCCCGCAGTGCGTGCTGGCCTTCGACGTGGTCAGCTTCTCCCAGGATCAGTTCCGGCTGGTGCACGTGGAGGTGGAAGTGAGGGACGTCAACGACCACGCGCCGCGCTTCCCCCGGACCCAGATCCCCGTGGAGGTGTCCGAGGGCGCGGCAGTGGGCACGCGCATCCCTCTGGAGGTGCCGGTGGACGAGGACGTGGGCGCCAACGGGCTGCAGAGCGTGCGGTTGGCTGAGCCACACAGCCCCTTCCGAGTGGAACTGCAGACCCGCGCTGACGGCGCCCAGTGCGCCGACCTGGTGCTGCTGCAGGAATTGGACCGCGAGAGTCAGGCCGCCTACAACCTGGAGCTGGTAGCCCAGGACGGCGGCCGCCCGCCGCGCTCCGCCACGACCGCCCTCAGCGTGCGCGTGCTGGACGCCAATGACCACAGCCCGGCCTTCCCGCAGGGCGCGGTGGCCGAGGTGGAACTGGCGGAGGACGCGCCCGTAGGCTCGCTGCTGCTCGACCTCGACGCGGCGGACCCCGACGAGGGGCCTAACGGCGAAGTGGTGTTCGCTTTCGGAGCCCGCACCCCCCAGGAGGCGCGCCGCCTCTTCCGCCTGGACCCGCGGTCTGGACGCCTCACCCTGGCCGGACCCGTGGACTACGAGCGCCAGGACACCTATGAGCTGGACGTGCGGGCGCAGGACCGCGGCCCCGGGCCCCGCGCCGCCACCTGCAAGGTCATAGTGCGCATCCGCGACGTCAATGACAACGCCCCGGACATCGCCATTACCCCGCTGGCCGCCCCTGGCGCACCTGCTGTCTCGCCGTTTGCAGCCGCCGCCGCGGCCTCCGCCGCTGCTCTTGGAGGAGCAGACGCGACCTCGTCGACCTCACCAGGGACGCCAGAGGCCGACGCCATCTCTCTGGTGCCAGAAGGGGCAACGCGCGAGAGTCTGGTAGCTCTGGTCAGCACCTCGGACAGGGACTCGGGCGCCAACGGGCAGGTGCGCTGCGCCCTCTACGGGCACGAGCACTTCCGGCTGCAGCCGGCCTACGCGGGCAGTTACCTGGTGGTGACCGCCGCATCCCTGGACCGCGAGCGCATCGCCGAGTACAACCTGACCCTGGTGGCTGAGGATCGCGGCGCACCCCCGCTACGCACTGTGCGGCCCTACACCGTGCGCGTGAGCGACGAAAACGACAACGCGCCGCTCTTCACGCGCCCGGTCTACGAGGTGTCAGTGCGTGAGAACAACCCTCCCGGTGCCTACTTGGCCACCGTGACCGCCCGGGATCCGGACTTAGGTCGCAACGGCCAGGTCACCTACCGGCTGCTGGAGGCTGAGGTGGGCCGCGCCGGAGGTGCCGTGTCCACCTACGTCTCGGTGGACCCGGCAACCGGAGCTCTCTACGCGCTGCGCAGCTTCGACTATGAGACGCTGCGCCAGCTCGACGTGCGCATTCAGGCGAGTGACGGCGGCTCCCCTCAGCTCTCCAGCAGCACCCTGGTGCAAGTGCGGGTGCTAGACCAAAACGACCACACACCGGTCCTGGTGCACCCGGCACCGGCCAACGGCTCCCTGGAAGTGGCGGTTCCCGGGCGCACGGCGAGGGACACGGCTGTGGCGCGCGTGCAGGCCCGGGATGCAGACGAGGGCGCCAATGGGGAGCTGGCATTCGACCTGCTGCAGCAGGAGCCGCGAGAGGCCTTCGCTATTGGCCGCCGCACGGGGGAGATCGTGCTCACCGGCGACCTCTCGCAGGAGCCGCTAGGTCGCGTGTTTCGGGCGCTGCTGGTCGTAACCGACGGCGGCCATCCGCCGCTCTCCAATACCGCCACCGTCAGCTTTGTGGTGACAGCAGGCGGCGGGCGCGGCCTCGTGGCGCCCGCCAGCGCCGGGAGCCCGGAGCGCTCTCGCCCGCCCGGCTCGCGGCTCGCGGCATCGGGGCCGACGCTACAGTGGGACACTCCGCTGATCGTCATCATCGTGCTAGCCGGGAGCTGCACGCTGCTGCTAGCCGCCATCATCGCCATCGCCACCACCTGCAACCGCCGCAAGAAGGAGGTGCGCAAAGGGGGGACCCTCCGGGAAGAGCGACCCGGGGCGGCGGGCGGCGGAGCCTCGGCTCCCGGCTCCCCGGAGGAGGCCGCCAGGGGAGCCGGGCCCAGGCCCAACATGTTCGACGTGCTCACCTTCCCTGGCAGCGGCAAAGCGCCATTTGGCAGCCCCGCGGCCGACCCGCCCCCGCCCGCGGTCGCCGCGGCCGAAGTGCCGGGCTCGGAGGGCGGCAGCGCCACCGGGGAAAGCTCCTGTCACTTCGAGGGGCAGCAGCGGCTCCGCGGCGCGCACGCCGAGGTGAGGCCTTACTTCGGCTGGGCGCCCCCCTCTGTGCTCCGCGGATAGGCTGGCGGAAGGGACTGGAGGGGTGTGCGTGCGCGGGCGATGCCTAACCTGTCGCACTTGTTCTTTTGTTTCTTGTCCAACCCTCACCCGCCCCTTCCCCCATTCCCTCCCTGCAGCCCTACGGTGCGTCTCCGGGCTTCGCAAAGGAGCCGGCGCCCCCTGTGTCGGTCTGGAAAGGACACTCTTTCAACACCATCTCCGGCCGAGAAGCCGAGAAATTCAGTGGCAAAGACAGTGGTAAAGGGGACAGTGATTTCAACGACAGCGATTCTGACATCAGCGGGGACGCTCTGAAGAAGGATCTCATCAGCCACATGCAGAGTGGTGAGGACTGTTCTCTCCTGCCAAGTTCAGCGTGCCTCCTCTCCCTCCACCCTTCTCCTACTGCTTCCCTCCTTGCAGCGCTTCCATTAGCCCCGCCCCCTTTTTCACTTTCTTAAATCCTCGGATCCAAGTCCGCCTCCTACAGCCAGTTTCCAAATGCTGAGTCAGACAGCTCCATCGCTTGAATAAAGCCCACTGCCGTCCCCCTAGGTGGAGGCTAGCTAGCTAAGGAGGGGAATTGTGCTTATCAATTTTTTTTTTTTTTTTGGCTTCCAGCAAAAGAAGCCGAGCCAACTTCTTGCTAAGGTAGCTTTATAGGACACAATGTGCCTTTTCAATCTTGAATCACGGAGTTCATCTTCATGCACGGGTTCCTTTTCAACCGCCGTGACCCTCCTGGACTTTATAAAAAGGGAGGCATAGGGGTGTGTAATCTCAGTACTCATGCTCTCTCCCTTTCTCTCCCATGTCAGGACTGTGGGCGTGCACTGCTGAGTGTAAGATTCTGGGTCACTCTGACCGCTGCTGGAGCCCGTCGTGCGGAGGGCCCAACACGCATCCCTCTCCTCACCCACCAGCGCAGATGTCAACCTTCTGTAAAAGCACGTCCCTGCCTCGGGATCCTCTGCGCAGGGACAATTTTTACCAGGCCCAGTTGCCGAAGACAGTGGGGTTGCAGAGCGTCTATGAGAAAGTGCTACACAGAGACTATGACAGGACAGTCACTCTGCTCTCCCCTCCTCGCCCAGGGAGGCTCCCTGACTTGCAGGAGATTGGGGTACCCCTCTATCAGTCACCCCCTGGCAGGTATTTGTCCCCAAAGAAGGAAGCCAATGAAAATGTGTAATCCATATGCTGCATGTCTTCACACATATACAGGTCACTCCGAGAAGCCCCTAAATTATTGACCAGTTTCAGTGTTGTATATATAAATATGCAAGATGTGCCTTAAAATGAAGTTGTTGGAAGCTATTTCCAATCACATTGGTACTGTTTCGTATTTGCAAACAAAAATGTAGTTAATGTAATTTTTATGAAATGTGTGCAGTATTTCATTTTTCTTATCATGCTATTGACTTTAATTTCACTTGCAGCTTGCCATTTTCTTAGTGTTTTTAACCTGTACATTGTGTAATGTAATGTTTGTATATAATGAAATTTTGTTCTATTTTTATATAATAAAAGCTAAAGTGGAAGTTATTGCCAAAGGAACTGTCTATACGACAAAAACAAAACATGTTGGAATTACTTAATGGACATTTATCTTTTACCTGAAACAACCTAGTGTTTGAGAATATTTGCCTTGCCAAGTATACCCTGTATATCTTGAGTCTGTGGTAGATTTCAAGTTCATTGTTATTTAATTACATTTGGTTTTCTGTAAACCATGTCACTTATAAGCACAGTAATAAAGGATTTGTCATGTGTTTGAAGGACCTGCTAATCACTTTTCATGAAGCTGCCTACAGTTAGACATTCACAAATAATTTGAGTATCAGAATTAAAAACCTTCTTTCAACTTAGTTACTTGGGCATTACTAGTATTCACAGCAATATTAAACATGTGGAATTTCAAGTATTGGAAAGTCTCACTAAATCTTAAAAATATTTACTTTGTAAACATGCGCATCTACATACATATCAGGCAAAAGTTCTGCCTTTATTTACTGACTCCACAAATATTTATGGAGCATCTATCAAAAATGGGGGAAAGCTGTTTGGGGTGTTCATTAAACATCTGTAGAGATTTTCCTAACTGCAGTAACTCCATTAGGACCTGGGTTTGAAGGACCTGGTTAAGAAGACATGGTCCCAAGGAGCTCTTAGCATATTAAGGATTTTAATGTCAAAAAGACTCTCAAATTTATGGGTGAAATGACATAAGGCTTGGGATTTGCTTTAAAATATCCTTGAGGAAAACTGGGCTGTATGACACAAGGTTGATAAAATACTGATCATATATATGGGGTAGAGGGGGTAATTACACCAATCTATTTGTGTGTCTGTATTTGAAAATGTACATAATCGGTTTTCAGAAAGACAAAAGACCTATGCCTCTTGTCTTGAACTCTATGTATTCATTTAATTTGAAATTAAATTGATAATAACAATGAGAGCTACCATTTACTGCACAAGCTTTTATCTGAGCAGAGCTCCTTACAAAGCACTCTGCACAAATTATCTCATTTAATCTTCAAATTCCCCCCATGGGAGGGAACTATCATTATCTCCATTTTATAAATAAAGAAACTGGGGCACAGCAAAGTTAGGTAAAATGCCCAAAGTCACACAGCTAGTAAGTGGCTAGAATGAGATGCAAACCCAGATTATTCAAGGTAAGAAAATAAAATGAAGCAACACAAGTTTTTTTGTTTTTTTAACTTGAAAGAAACAAAGAGGTGGAAAAGTCCTGAGGCATTGCCTTTACTGCCTACTGCCTGATTATTGTTTAGCCCTCTACGTTTATGAAGTGTTCCTTTAGTAGTAATTATAGAGTGTGAGGCACCGTAATGAATAGAGCAGCCCTCAAAGCTGCCTGTTGAAGTCATAATTGAAACCAGTGGTGGCTCCAAGCTGAACAGCAGGGTGGGTACACACGAGTGCTTCCCCACCCACAGCCTGTGCAAAGTTCAGCGGATTCTGCAGGCAACTGAGCTGAGCATGCACTTGATAAGCTCAGCCTGCTCAGACCTCAGGTTCTGGAAAAGTAAGTTGAACATGGCCAGGTTACCAGACAGCTCCTGAGCTGTGATGACCAAGCCCCAGGAGAGATCCCCGGGGAAGACCTCCCATTCTAACATCTAAGGCTTTATTCTCGAGCCAGTTACATCAAATGCAGAGCAAAAGAATGAATAATCCCAAGATGCAGCCTAAAAGCATCCAGTCTCTAAATAGTTGCCTGCTTTTGTCCTTCAAACATAAAATAATATCATTGTCTCTATTTTATTTTGTACTGGGCAAACCTGTTCATGACTCTAAAATTTGGTCTGCAAAACCTCAATGACTTCACTATCATATTTTTCCCTTAGAGAAATCACCATCAAAAGACTTTGTTTTTGTGTGGAACACAAAATTCAGTTCTTAAAATTGTTTGTTTAAAAAAAAAAAAGGAGGAGGGGTGGTTGTTCTAAGGACCAGCAAAAGGACCTCTCAGAGAAACAAGAGCTAGATGAAAAAGACTTAATGCATTTCTTGAGAAATGTTGATTCTCAAGCACATATTTAAGGAAGTAGACTGCTTTATCAAATTAAATAACATATGCAGAATACTTAGGACATTGCCTGGCCTTTAGCAATACCCACTACATTCTATGTTCCTCTTCCTTTGCCTTCTTTGGAGCCACTCTCCATCGTAACTATCAGTGAAGATGGAACAGACCCTGGATGTCTGGCCTTTTACTACACGGTCTGTTTTCTACACTTCTCCACCGTCACTGTGTAGACAGAGCCTCACGTGGTCAACGCTCCACAAAATGAGTATGGTTAAAGTGAGCATCAGAGGCACACTCACAAGCCTTAGAGGTCTGTGATGGCACACAAATCCCTCTGGGGAGGCGGAGGCCAACACCCTTGCTCACCGGCCATGAGTACATGGGAAGGCCCTTGGGAAAGTGGGAGGTCACCTTGAAAGAGAAAGCTAAAACCAGACTTTACCTGGCCCCATTGACTTGGATGTCTTACTCTACCTATAATAAAATATCCATCAAAGAAACCACCTCAGAAAATTAACTGTAAGTGGTTTCAACATCTATTGAAAAATGCATACTGAAATAGAGTGAAAACAGGATGCATGTCCCCAATACAAATATATATGCATGTGGACAGAAATACGTATATGTAATCAGGATGAGTTCCATGCCATAATGATCTAAATATCTGGCTTGTCTCACTTGGCAAATATAAGCTTTTATTGTCTAAAAATTCCATTTTAGTAAACAAGAATATTACTGTTAGTACTGAATTCTGTAACAACAGGATTAATTGGAATGCTGTAAGTTTTAAAAGCAAACTAAAGCAAAGTAATACAATACTTGATGGGGCACTGTGCTTTGCAACAGCTCAGAAGGGCTTTGAAAATGCTGTCTAGTTTTCAATAGCTATGCAATAACTCAGAGTATTTATTATTCCCTTTCTTCAGAGGGAAATAATCTGCTGTGGAATTCACCAACAGGTTCAAAGTCACCTAATAAGTGAACAGCAGGTAGAAAGAGACACCAAGCTGTCTTAAAAACCATCACTTAAACCACCAGATTAAACGTGCTCTTTTAGCAGGGGGAAAAGAAATCTTCACTTATTATCAGAGTACAGGATTTGCTTCCACAAAACTTGTTAAAGGAATTTCAACATGTCAAAGTGAGGCCTACATTGTTAAATGCAGAATTAGTGCAATCCATTTGCCAACCCGGTATGACACTTGGCTGTATCATGGACACCGCAGACACAGCATGACCAGTGAAAATCACCCTCTCCTTCGCCACTATTACCCCCAAACTACCCCTCTGGGGTGAGTTTAAACTCAGTGAATGGGATGCAGTTTATAGACCAAATCCAAAATGCAAAAGACATTTTAAGACTCCACCCTATTTCTTACTTCTAGTCACCAAGAGCTATTGATTCTTTTTTTATAAATATTGTTTAATTGCCTTTTCACTCCATTACAGCAGACATGCTGCTCTGCCCATGTCCCCACTGCTGACCTCTGAATTCATCTCAGTTTTGGTGGACACTTCTAGTGGCACTATGACAGTCTCCATCTCATGGTTCTGTCTCTGCTGCTTGAGACTTGCGGAGGGCTTGGGGCCCCACCAGTGTTGGGGCCACAGAAGCTTGCTCAGCCTGTGCACAGAGCAGTTTGGAAGTACTGGAGATTTTCTGACCTGCAGAGGCAATGTTGAGCCAATTAGGGACAGGCACTGGTGGATAAATTCTCCAGCTAAAGGATAATTTTGAGTTGTAGTCTCCATAGGTCCCCTGAGGGTCCCAAGGGAGTCTGAGCCCCAGGGTGGCATGGCAGCAGCCCACTCAGTAACACCCTCTTCATTGGCTTCCTTCCTTTCCTCAGTCACCTGTGCTTCCTGGTATCACCTCCCAAATCAACTTCCTGCGCCAAATCCTTGTCTCGGTGCCTGCTTTTAGACTACCCAAAATGGTTGCATCAGAACAAAAACGGGAATAGCATGCTATTTTTTTAGTGATTTCTCTGTTCCAGACACTGCACCAAGCACTTTATAGTTAATCCTCACCACTTTTCCAGGTAAATGTGAAACCATTTTACATATGGGGAGAGCCAGATTTGGAGAGGTAAGGGGTAATGTGCCATAGGTCAGGTCATACGACTAATATTAGGAGGAGCTGGGATTAAAATCAAGATCTGTCTTATATAGAATAAGACATATCACCTTACTGAAACTCTGGTTACATCTTTCCTGGATTCCAGCACAAATTTCCTATCTGCTCTCTCTGAGACCCCCTCCACTCCATCCTCCCACTGCCGCCATAAAGTCCTTTTCTAAACCTCTGATAAATATGGTCATGACTTCCCCTCACCTTTAGGATGAAGTCCACAGTGCTGTACAGGGCATCCCAGACCCTTCATGCCCTGACCCCTGCCTCTCTGCCCAGACTCCATTCTGCCTTCCCCCCAAAACAAACACACCTGGTGCTTCAGCTGGAAGGATCTACTCATGTTTCACCTCTCCCTCCTGATCCTTCTGCCTGAAAAGATATTTCCTTCCCAGCCCACCTCTTCTCTTCTCTGGCCCTTTCTTCTTGTCCTTCAGGATTGTTCAAGAATAACCCCATCTCACAGCCACCAGCCAGACAGGGCAGGGTAGGCATTCTGCACACTTTCTGGGCACTTTCCAAACTGAGAGCCATTATCGCTCCATTTCCATTTTCCCCACCAGCTCATGAAATCAAGGACTGTCTGTGTCTTTCATCTCTCTATCCTCAGTACCTGGTAGACTGGCCAGCACATAATAAAGAGTCAATAAAAGTGCTTGCTGGATGGAATGATTCACTGAGGCTGGCATAAAAGGTCATGGTTACACACCAAAGCCAAGAGACTTTGCATCTACAAGTCAATATATCTCCCCACAGGGGGTCTGTGCTAAATTTGCCTCTGAATCATACATGATCCACATCTTATCTACTCCTGCTAGTGAATAACTCCAGGAATGCATGGAGGATGCAGAAGCAGCTTCAGCCCTGACCACATACAAGTCACCTTACTTATTGAAGGTCAAGCCTTCCCTACTTTCCAGTCTCAATTCAGCAACATCTCTTTAGACCCAACTCAAGAGATTCCTAGAAGTTTATGGCACCACATATCTAGAGATTTGATGTGACCTAGCCCATCTTGGTACCTGAGCCACATAGTCCCAAAAATCCAAGTAACTGGCAAATCTCCACTTTGTTCTAGGCAAACACAGCAAATCATAAAGTTAATGAAAGCATCAAATCATTTTCTATGGTAACTGTTGAGTATTAGTCTCATTTCATTGAAGATTTGTCTAGTTTGCCAAATTTTCTTCCTATCAATTCTAGGAAAGTACCTGTTGAGGGGTGAAGATTTACTTCTAACGAGTATCAGTCATTACATCACCAGAGGAAGACCTGGGACAGTGGT